GTACAGGTCCATTTACCATATATACATTCAAATAATCTGATGTTCTTTTGCTTAATTCCACCTGGAAATTAGAGTTGTGCTTTAGGTGTAGGTGTAAAATAAAACGTATTTATGGAGTAGCAATTTGTCAGTTGTGTCCAGTTATACAGTAAAACTCACTTAAATTCTGTTAATAGGACTAATAGGTCAGAACATTCTCGGTAACATTTGTGTGTGATGTGTTTTTGATATTGAGATTACATTGTAATTTACTGTCTAAGTGACAGACGTGGGAGTTTACATGATGTTTGTATCTCAAATATTTGTTTTGTCAGTCCTGCTTATTTCACACCAAATTAAACCTCAAGAAGAAATCATCCACGCTGTGATGATCCAGTTTTACGCTAGTTGTTTTAAAGTGTTGCAAAAATGAATTTGACAATGGTATATTGAGGTGGAGATCAACATCTTTTGGCTTATTATTCCACAGAATAAGCATTTACGTGTAAGAAAATGCTTAAAAGCTTATTTGGTAATTTAGTGTTTAACAGAGGATTTAAAATGCAAATACAGCATTCAAGTATAGCGTAACAGCAGATGAACACAAATGCTGCAGGCAGATACAGAAGTAAGAAGTATGGTCCAGTACACCTCAAAATAAAATAATTCTCATAGATTTATCCTACTCCCCGTGTCTAAGAGACACCACACCTCATCTTTGCAGGTGCTAGAATAGTAATACTCAATATAAGACCTCCGGGTCAGATCTGGCCTGCAATAGGGTGCCGGGTGGCCCTCCATCCATTTTCTGCCACTTGATGTGAAAACATTAAATTTTTCATATCAATCCAGGAAGGTTTCCAAATGTCATTTCTGTATGCAAGGTTGCTGTACACTGTAATGCGATATGTTATTTTACCTCAGAAAATATTGTTGAAATGGATTACATAGAAATTTGAAGTAAAACAATTTTTTTTACATTAAAGTTTGCCTGTGCTAGAGCATTGAAGTCAGACAACTAACGGAGACACTAATGCTGTTTGCATCCTGCAGAGCCCAGTGGTTCACAAGGTGAGTGTCTGAGTGCTCTGTGTCTGCACTTATGTGTACAATCAATGACCTTGTTTTAGCTTAAGCTTGCAGTCAACAAGCTAGAGGAAAATGTTCTTGCTGTTTGCAGTTCTCTCCCAGAGCATGAATCATCAGGCGGTCCCCTTAAAATGCTTTTATCATCCTGGCATTGGCATTGGCATTGTTCCTGTTTTATTAAGTGTTGTTCTTGCCTCATCTTGTGCCTAACCACCTCTGCATTTACCTCGTACATACCTAGCAACTTGGGGGTGTTCTACAATTTAAGATAACTTCCCTCTCACCCTCTTGGGGTGCGTATCTGTGTCATCCTCAAAAGCTCGGGGTCCTACTACCAGCAGGCCTGGAGTTTGAGGGTTCTGCGCAGTATCTTAGCTGTTCCATAGGCATGGCGCCTCTTCTGGACTGTAGGCTTCCTGTATGTTTTGCCTGGGAATTTGTTTGGAGCCACTCCCTCAGTTTTTGGGTTCACTGCCCCGAGTTGCCCCTACTACATTATTTATATATACATATAATGCACCAATCCCCAGAGAGAAGGGATACATGCAGCGAATGGGAGATATATATATATATATACACCCCCAAGTTGCTTAAACTCCCAGAAAATATTGAGGGCCTGACTTCAGTGCCCTGCTTTCATATATGATTTAAAACATTAATATAGCAGCAAACAACTGTTCGCTATGTAAAAATATGGTGGATTCATGTTGTCATGAGCAGAGAACGACTTCACACTCCCTCTACCTGTGTTGCTATGCTACCTCTCTGTGGTTTGTTTCCATAGCCAGTCTGCTTCGTGTGTACAGTAGAGTGATTACATTTTCTGCTTTTCTTATCTACGTCAGTGAATTAAGGATTTATTCCAACCAAAGAAGAGTTGGTAATTGTTGGAACACTGGAATCAACAACAAAGGCTTTTTTGGTGAGTTTTATTTAGTTTCTGTGCACTTTGAATGAAGTTATGATGTTATGAGCTAAAATGACCATTTTTGTGTCTGGAGTCTGGTTAGTGATAGCAGTATTTCAGCTGTTTCTGTCTTGGTTTTAGGTTTGTCATGGTTTTGTAATTCTCCCCCTACTGTGTCTACTCCAGTTTCCATTGTTTGCCCTGCCCTGAGTATTTTCACCTGTGTCTTGTTATCCTCCTCCTTACCTGTGTATTTAGTATTTGTGTTTCTGTGTTTTTTATTGTGAGTTTGTCTTTTGGCATAGCTTTCAGCCTGTTTCCTCATGGTTTCTCAGTTTGTGGACTTTCTATTGGATGTATTTGACTGTTTTGGACCACTGCCTCATCGTTTTGTAAGTTTGTGTTCCACCACCATTTTTCCACCATTAATCATCTGAACTGCACTCTGCCTTTATTTCTGCATTTTGGTTCAAATTCCTTGTGTTCAGTAAATCAGCTTGCACAGCCAGGCCAGTTTCTGGGTAAACTGCCTCTGTAGGGAAACTCTCCATAATGTTGACAGACACAGAATAACAAACTGAGCCTGGCAGTGGCAAAAACAAGCACTACGTCAGTGAGCGTACTTTTTTTTGTACTATGTCAACCTCTTGGTGGGGTTCATCAAAGTTGATGAGTTATTTCAGTCTGGACAAAGTGGTGGACTGACCAATCATTTTAGATTCATTCATTGTATTTGAATTTGACTGCTTTTCATGCTTAATAAAAAAGAGAATAGATTGATTGAGTTTATTTGTGGATTATCGGACACAGGAAAACACAACAACAAAAATCCAAAGGGTAACGTGTTAAAGTGAAGACAGTACTTCAATGTGTTTTTTTTTTTTTTTTAAAATACTGTTAATCCTGGCTACAACGTGTTTTCTCGTTCTCTGTTTTTGAATTGCAGTACAGCCTGTATCTCTGTGGTCACATTTGTGGCTTCCGAATGAATCATCCTGTTCCTTCCTGTAGATTTTCATTTCTACTTAGAGCAGTGCCAGTTATACACCAACCTCCACATACCTTTTTATTGGTAATGTTTCTAAATGCAGTAGCAAAAGGAGACAAATTACATTATACTTGACAGTAATTGGTGCAGTAAGACCTTAGTAAGAGTTTTTCAGGAAGCAGATCTATAACCTTTTTTTAGGTTGGAGTATCCCTCTTGTGTCTTTTGTCATGTTACGTTATGTATTTAAAATTTTTGGT